AAAATGCATTTTGCTAAAACACACACACACACACACACACACACACACACACACAAAGCTGGGTGATGTGGCACATGCCCATGCTCTGGGAAGCTGAGGCAGGAGGATCTCAAGTTATAACCTCAGCAAGTTAAGTGACTTAATGAGACCTTGTATCAAAATATTCATTGATTGACTAATTGACCGATTGATTGACTGATTTTATAGCGAAGCAAAACTGCACAGACATCAAATAAATCTGTGGCTGATAAGATTCAAGGGAGGAGAAGCGCACCGTAGCTCCGCTGCAAGATGTGCTTAGCACACAGGAGAGCCTCAGCCCAGAACTTGCTCTATTGAGTTCTGCTTGGCACCACAAGGAACAAAAGCACAGGAGAACTTAAGGGCAAGTTCCACTGTGAGGAGGTAAAAAGGGAAAGGAGTATTTTTAGGTGATTTCAGCTATAGTCACACAATGCTACATTTATGTCAAAACTGACAGAACCTAAGACTGACTAATTTTGATATATATGAATTCAAAAATTTATAAAGACCATGTATATCTATTGAACTTTGGGGGTTTTTAAGTATAAAAGCAACTTAAAAGACAAATATAAAATACAATAGTACTGTAACATAGATACCTGAGTAACAGTTCTTAAATTACTAATTTAAAAGAAAATTGCAAAAAGTATGAAGTTTTCTGAAATCTAACTATACATGAGTACATGTACATATTTATAGTCTGTTTTTTCTTCACTGTGTATACAAAGTTTTAAAATAAATATTATTTTGAAGCACTAAAATGCCAATATTCAAGGAAATTAGGGAGGATTAAGATGAAATATATTTTTTCCCTAAGATTACTGCACAAATCTTTCCTCTTTTTTTTGATGCCCAAAGTAGGAGTTCAAATGTACAATTTTTCTATAATGAAAAATACAATTATGCTAGGTATTGTTTTTGGAACCAAACTGTCAAATTCCAACTTAAAATCAAAGTCAATATGAAGGGGCCAGAACACTGTGCGTCTCACTTCCCAGAATTCAGTGCTGCCATCCTAAATCTTGTTCCGTTCTACAGTGTAGCTGACCACAGGCTGCGTCAATCTCAAAGACAGGGCAGTTGCTTCTCACTGCACTGGGACAGGGCCGCCCCACATGTAAAATATGAGCCCTTTAACTGCAGGACCACAGCCTGCACCAAGGAAAGCCGGGTTATTATGGAATCCTACGCTGTAAGATTTTTCCAAGCATGCTTGGATCCCAGGAACATCTGATTTCATGCGGAAAACTGTACTATTGTTCACACTTCCACAGAACCCTGTGACACTGCAGGGGAACACACAGAAACAAACGAAACCCTCAAGAGCAGTTAGCAATTTTGCTAAATGTTATACCAGACTTGGGGGACTGATGGAGAAGGGGGAAGAAGTGAGTGACCTCACCCGTGGTCAGATGACTTCTTCTAATGTCAATAACATGCGGGACTAAGAGAGGGAATAGGTGACTCTAGCAACAATTCCCCTCATGCTGGCAAACCCGGGCAGTGTTTCATGTACGATCCAAAAGAAACACTGTGGAGGTGATGAGGATTCGATGCAAAGGATTCTTCTCACGATTCTTCCTCCAGGCTAGGAAAAGATATTATTGAATCCTTCAAGTTTATGTACTCATTTTAGGGTCAAGTCTGGGTCTCCTAAAAAAAATGTAGTTTCATCCTCTTTGTTTAAGGTCCAATAAAGGAAAAATAAACCAAAAAAGCCTACTTAATTTTCTGCAGTGAGCACTGAACGAGTGGCCTTTATGGTTCACCTCATGGTCTTGACCAGCACAACTAAGTACCACAGTTCTGTAATGACACGTAGACTCTGTACTCAATATATTTTATTTCCTATTTAAACAGACCCATGAGCTGCAATTGAGAATGCATTTTGTAGTAAGTTTACATGGAAATATAAGACTAACTCAAATGCAAAATCCAGAACACTTACACAGCTTATTCTGTCTCTAACATTCTTCTAAATGTCAAAGGTTTTCACGTCTCAAAGCAAAACTGTATCCTCCAGGTAGATTCGACCATTTCTCATTGTATGAACATCTTCTGCTTTTCCCCTCCAGAGCCCTTCATTACTCTGCTCCATTTGTGGTTTACTTAAATTCTCTTGCAAAATGGATTTAGGTAACAACAACAAATGTACCTAGATTCTGTCACTTTAGACTTCCACAGAAATCCTTTCATCAAACCAAAATATAAGACTCTGCCTTCAGCTTTCATAAAATTGCACTATAAGAAACATCAACTCCAAGAATATTTCTATATAGTGTGCTAAAAAATAACTAAAGGTATTGCCTCTTACGCTACCTGACATCCTTTATATCAAGAGCCCAGTGATAACCTTGAATGGCCAGTACTTGGAAAGAAACAGTATTTTTCCTGATAAATTGTAATGTTCCCCTTATAACCAAACAATATATCCCTTTTCGTTTTAACTGCCCTGGAAATTATTTAAATTTCTTTCTCGAATGCAATAGCTAATCCTTTCATAGAGCCTAAAACCTATTCCTCTCTTTTATTTACAACATGTTTTCTAGCATGCCTTTAATTATGTCACTGTGAAAGATACTTAAATATATTTTGAAAGTAGACAGAATTGACATGAAGGCTGGGTCTCCTAGCTGTTCCACCTTAAACTACAAAACAAAAATAGTACAGTTGAGAGTCCACCAAACTAGAATGTGCACAGGAATTAGGTGAGGCTCTCATTAAGATGAAATTCTGACTGAGAAGCGTGAGGTGGAGCAGGCTCCCAAAGGAAGCTGATCCTCCCAGTCTCTGCACACGCTTGGCACGGGCATCGTGTCCACAACAGTCCTCTGCCGAAGCACACACGAACCATCAGCACAAGGGGAGAAAGGAGCAGGGTACAGCTAAGAAATGGCAACGCTCAAACCACTGAGGACCACAGAGCGGAGCAAAGAGCCAGATCTCTATTTCAAATTTTTAAAATCCAAAAGTCTCAAAGCTAGTGTCACTATTAGTTCAATTTTTAATAACAAATACTCAGTTCGTGTTTTCCAAAGAAGCTGAGTCTGAGATCTGTCAAACATTTGACCAGTCTTATTTTTTTTTTCTTTTTTTGAATGTTTGGGGAGAAGATGAGGGAAAGCACAGCACTTAAAATTTGCAAAGAGAAAGTTTTCACTTTTTCGAAGACTAGGCATCTATCAGATGCCAAACACTATTTTGAGGCCTCAAAGCACTGTTGTCTTGTTTTACTTATCTGTGCTAGTTTTATTTTATTCTTCTTACTATTTACCTTTTAGAGCCATTACATAACTTGGAGAAGAAAGATTGCTTAGCTAGTAAATAAGGAAGTAAATCTGCATTGTTTGAAGAAAATTTATGAACTGTGATACTGCCTAAGGAAATACTTTAATTTGTTTAAATCTTTATTTTTTTTTCTAGCTCATCACCAGTAAAGAATATTATTCTGCTGGTATGTTGCATATAACAGTTTCTGAAATACTTCACAGTAAAGAAAAGGCCTAGTATTTCCAACGTTGTTCAGTCTTTGTAACTTCTTACACTGCCCATATGTGTGTGTGTGTGTGTGTGTGTGTGTGTGTGTGTGTGTGTGTCTCCTCCACACAGTTTCATAAGTGAAGATGGAAAAACCTATTTTGGTTAAGGTTAAAATTAGCCAATTATCTAATATACATAAAGGACAAGTTGAGTCCTGTATTTATTCTGTAGAAGTACAAAAATAGTTAAGACTTTTTCTAGGTCAGAGGTTTTAAAACCAACTGTATTTATTTTCTATTGCTGCGGTAACAAGTTATGATAAATTTGGTGGCTTGGGCAACACTAGTTTATTATTTTACAACTCTAGAGATAAGAAATCACTGGGGTGAAGTCTAGGCATTGTGAGGATTGTATTCTGTCTGGAAACTCCAGGGGAAAAAAATCCATTTCCTTGTCCTCACTTCTATATACTTCTAGATGCTTCCTTGGCTCAGGGTCTCCTCCTCCTCCATTTTTCAAAGCCAGTAATGTTGCACCACCCTCTGATTCTTCCACAGTCTCATCCTCCTCCAATCACCTCTTCTCTTTTTGTCTGTTCCACATGCAAGGACCTTCACGACCATACTGAGCCCAAATGGATATTCCAGAATAATTTCCCTATTTTATAGCTTGTGTGATCAGCAACGTTAACTCCACCTCCACCCTTATTTTTTTGTCATACAATTTCACACATTCACCGGTGCTAGGCACGTGGATGCGGACATCTTTGGGGCTCCATGTTCTGCGTACCACACAGAGACGGTGTTTCTTCCTCATTTGGTGAACTGAATTTTCCAAACACAGTTTAGTTCTTTATAGTCTTTCAATACTGGGAAAAGCAGCCCTTGGGAATGGCTTTGTAGCACTGCTGGTAGTGACAATCTATCCTCCACCTTTTGTCCATGAGCTCTAGCTGTCTTGGAATGACTCTCCTACTCACACAGAAATATGAAAAGGGCTGGAACGGCAGCTGTCACACAGCCATCTGCAGCTGCATACACTAGCTCCAGTTTCCTGAGCTTACTCCCATGCCAGTAACTGATGCTACAGAACGTGGACCCCAACTGAGGTCATCAGGATTATAGCTCTGCCTCTGCAATCCAAGTCGGTCAGAAAAAGTCCTCTTATTAAAATGCTGAACAGCTTCTAAAATTTTTCCTATAAACTTACAGCCATTAAAACTGTCTAAGGCACTTGGCACTAAAGTTGATTCAGTGGTTTTTTAACACACAAATGTAAAATTACAGGTAAATTTTAGTAGCCTGATCTTTTCAAGCCATCTCAAAGTACTGACCGTTTGACTGTTTTAACAGCTGTATGATGCTTAAGTGCTGAGGCCCCTAAATCTCTAATGAAAGGAATAACACTTTGTATGTTTGTATGAATATATTCCAGGTATTCTTTCTCACAGAAACTCTTGGTTAAAGAAAATTATTCTGTTTTAATCCGGAGCCATAGTATTGTATGAAAGGAGAGAAGGTTAGCACCTACCTTGACAAAGACAGAAGAGGCCCTGGGGCCTGATGGCAGCATATGGCTAAGGTACTGCCACCCACTTTGTGGCATCAATCAGGAGCCATAGAGCAAAAAAAAAAAAAAATGTTCAAGTCATTGGTTAAAGCCCCGATGAAAATACTAAGTCAAATGTAAGCAAGAAACAATGTTGAAAAACTTGAGTTTGAATTGATGGTCTGCATATTGGGAGACTAAACTGCTATTACTACAGTGTAGAAGAGCAAAGTCCTACCACTGGATGCCACAACGGAAACCGCACAACAGCTTCCCCAACTGACTCTCATATTGCTTCGCGTCACACGAAAGGTTACAGGTATATTGTTTCTTGTGAGCCCTGCGTTCTAACGCACAGTGAGCAACGCCGACAGAGGCAGGGCTCTCTCTTGGGTTAACTGACACCTTCATTCTACCCGCTGCCTGCTGATCCAAAACTGGGACTAAAGCAAGGGCACCACTGAGCAGGTAGACAGTCACTGCTCACTCCCTGGCGACACTCCGAGGGTCTGAGATCTGACTTAGAAACAGGATAAGGCCTTGGTCCCAAAGGATTTTTGCTCACATAATACCTAAAAGAATTCTGAAAACAGATGCACATATTAAGTAACAGCTAACCACCACAGTTTAAATTCCTGAAAGGACATATTTCTGATGCTCTATGCATAGTACACACCCTTCCTGCACATATTTATCAGAACCTCTGGGCTGCAGGGTTTGTCTAACCTATGCAAAATGTCTGCTCGTAACACAACTGGCAAAGCCAATCCTCACTGACAAGCCTATCTGTCCAGATAGGAAAAGTACCCCGGTGATGACTGCACATCTACTGTGTGCAAAGAGGAACCAGCAGAAAACCACAGCACAAAGCCTTGCCATGTGCTCCTCACATGGATGAGTGGAAAGAAGGAAGGGAAACATGTATGTATAGCAGCAGATTCAGTTCAACAAAGAATGAGAAGTGGACAGTCTGAAAATGTAAACACTAAGCCACAGGCACACTTGTGTGCCCGGAGACTGGGGGAAAGGATTTAAATTCCCTCCAAAATTATCTCATATAAAATAAAGGTACATGATATTTTTTAAGGCCTCTGAGTACATCTGCTCTGAGACACCCTATACCCTTGGAAAGATCTCTGAAAAAGGACCAAGATACCTTCTTCAATACAAAGGGTCAAGAAAAAGATGACAACCTTGTTGGTATGGCCAACCTTGTGTACAATCTTGGACAGAGAGTGCTAGCATTCTGGGAGTTGGTTCTACATAGTTTTAATTATGTAGAACTTCACTGATAGTTTTTTACACCTCTGTTCTTAGCGGCTCATCTTTTAGCGTGTGTGTTTGCGCGCGGGCGCGCGTATTACTTACTTTTAATCATCTTTCATGGTTTTCACCTAAATTCACCTTATGGGACTTACGCCCATAATCTGAATCTCTGTGGGGCCCTTTTAGAGCCAGATGGTACTATAGTAATCTATACCTTTAAGGGTACCGTGTTGTGTCAACACTGGAGTTGTTTATGCAAACTATGGCAAACTTTACATAAGGAAAGAGGAGTGCACAGCTAGGCTACAACTGCACTTCCAAACTCCCTAGTGTTTCTGAAGGCAAGGTTGGAAGTACTGTAAATTATTGACAATGGGCAGGAAGGAGAGGCAGAGAAGACAACTTTATTGGGTACTTTCTCTCCCTTTGGAGAATTTGTGTGCTTTGGGGAGAAGCTCCCAGTAACTAGACAGCACCCAGCGTCCTTCGGATGCTGCAAGTTTATCCGCTGGTGGATGTTCTGCAAAGCACCTTAGAAGCCAATGGGTCTGAGGCCGCTCAAGATCAAGGTCGTCCGACGCTTTCGGTAACTGAAGAATCTTCCCATGTCATCTCTTAGAAGCAGGTCTGTGTCCCCTTCCAAATGGCCCACCACCTCGCTGCGCACCAGGTACGGGTGGGTGGCTCCCGAGGTGGTGCAGCGGGGACAGTCAGGCCTTGAGACACGCTCACCGGGAGGACAAGAGCAGAGCAAAAGTGCCACGAGAGGCGCGCACCCCAAAACACACACAGCGCGGGGTGCGGAATGGAGCGGCGAGGGGAAGGGTCGACCTTACCAGATCAATGAACGTGAGGAATTTCCAGCTCCCGCCGTAGGTCTGATGCGAGGGCATTTCGATGGCCTTGTAGTTGCACAGGATAGAGCAGTAGGACAGCAGGATGGCCACCCGCAGCACCTGGCAGGGCACGAGCGCCATGTTCGCGGGGGCCTGGGAGCGCTGGGCCGCGGGAGGGCGGGCGCGTGGGAACGGCGGCGGGCGCGTGGGAACGGCGGCGGGGCGCG